TAACTGCAAAACGGCAGTCTGTGATATTCCCCCCCGTGGTCTAAAAATGTCAGCTACTTTCTTAGGCAATACTACAGCTGTTCAGGAAGTTTTTAAGCGTGTTTCTGAACAATTTACCGCTATGTTTCGTCGCAAGGCTTTCCTTCATTGGTATACAGGCGAGGGTATGGATGAAATGGAATTTACTGAAGCTGAAAGTAATATGAATGATGTCATTGGAGAATATCAACAGTACCAAGAAGCCACAGCCGATGAGGAAGGCGAGTTTGAGGAGGATGAAGAGGGTGGTGCAGAATAATTATTTTAGAAAATTATTGTTTATTTAACTTGTTATTGACATTAAATTTCCATATGTACAAAAATTACAAATAAAAGAATGTTGCGTTTGAAAGTAAATTTTTGTAATGTGTACTTTCATGTTTCTTTACATATGTACGCGTATCAATGTGTAATTAATATTGCATTGAAAAGAAAATACAGCTTCAAAATTAATGAAATTAAAAGTAAATTATAAAATATTAATTTTGTGTGATAGTAGTTATGGTTAAGTAAAATTAACAAAAAGTTACACCAAGAGATATAATTGCTCTATAAAGACTTCATAAGAATATGGAATACAAGTCAGTAAATTGAAAATAAAAGAGTAGACTGATATTGGCATATTATTACTTCTGTGAAGTATTATTATATTCTTATAAAAAAGACTACATCAGATCTCCTCAATTACCCCAGGGCTATCAAGTGTGCAGGCTACATTTACTTGACGTTAGTATGGTATGCATGCAAACCGTAATAGATCGCGTGACGTTCCAAAGATTCTTGTAATATTTGTTTCTCTGTAATAGACGTTGAAATAGATATTGATATTGAGATCATAATTTAGTTTAAATTTCGCAGAGTATTCAAATCGTTCTCGTTCTTTATTGGCTATTGTCTCTTGCCATAACACTTTAAAGAAATAGTATTTTCTACTTAAAGAATTTTATTATGTTTTATTGCCACTGTTATATAGTTTTTAAAGATATATTATTTAATTATTTAATATTTTTTATTACACTATAAAATGCACAGTCGAAGCTGGCATTGAATATTAAAATAAATATATGATACGTTAAAAACCGAAAACTGGAGTTTTAATTAAATCATGTAGTTCCCATGACACTCTACATAATAGAGGCTTTATTCTATGTTATAATATATATATGTATGAGTTTATGTATGAATATACAATAATTTTATTACAATATTTTTAATTAATTAAAAAATGAAAACTTATAACTAATCCATTTTTCAGACCCAAATACATATTGCTCTTAATTTAAATATAATTTATTTCATCCAATCATAAAAATATTTTCAGTTAATTTGAATTTCTAGTAAATGATGCTTAGGATAACTAATCCATTTTTAGACCGTGTGCGAGTTCGAGTAAATTGATGGTAAATCGGGGGATATAGTAAATTATGTCGGTATGGCAGGGAATGTTGGTATTTACTAGAAATTCGAATACGGTAAATTAAATAAAAAATTTTATAAGATGTTTAATAATTAAATAAATAAATTTGAAAAGTATAGAAGTGCAATAAATAAATAAATAAATATTTACATAAGTGCAGTGCAAAAAGTCTGTAGAAAATTTCAATTTACTTTACCTCTATTTACTCTAACTCGCACACGGTCAAATACTTATTACTCTTAATTTAAATTTAATTTATTTCATCCAAACACAAAAATATTTTCAGTTAATGTTTTTTTTTGTTTTTTTTTTGCTTCCCTTTATTATACAACTGCCAAGATTTAGCATTTAGTATACATTTTTACATAATGGAACTTCAAGTAATAATTCAAAAACAAGATTAAGAATTACATGAGTGAACTATTAATAGTGGATAAAAAAAAAAGAAAACTTTTCTTTAAATTAAATAAATTAAATATTATAAAATAATTAAAATTAATAAATAGATGATATAATAAATGAGTCAATTAAATAGACTGCTATGAATTTACTATGAATATATTAGTTAGATTTTTATAGTATTGCTAGTTCTGATGGAAATAAGCGTTTCAATCTTCTGTTATGTATGGCTTCGTCATTAGGTAGCTGCCTCATTGTTGGGTTAGGATGGAAAAGTAATCTGTCTGTGTGCTTTTTACTATTTTTTCGCATAACGTCTGCAACGAAGGGTATCTTTAGATCGCGATGAATGTCATTGAGATCATTGAGTTTGAGATGTACCATTCAACGTTGATGATAGTCCTAAGTATTTTTGATTGTAGTCTTTGCAGTATTTGAATGTTGGATTTACATGCTGTGCCCCATATTTCGGCTCCATATTTCCATATTGGAGCGATTATTGTTTCATATACTAGTAGTTTATTTTCCACTGTTAGTTTTGATTTCGAGCAGAGTAGTCAGTACAATTGTCCAAAGCGACGCTTAATTTCATTGCTTTTAGCTTTAATATGGTCTTTCTAAGTTAATCTGCTATCTATAGTAATGCCAAGGTAATTTGCCTTTGTGTGTGTGAAGACTTCGTCATTGTTAATTTTTATACGTTTTAGGTCATATTTTTTATTCGTGTAGATAACATGAACTGTTTTGCTTGTATTTATTTGAACTCCCCATTTGTCGAACCATTCGAGCGTTCGAGCGTTACGTTTAGGTAATTCTGCAAGTTGTCTGTGGAGATGTTAAAATTTTTATTAGCTGCAATTAGTGCTGTATCGTCTGCAAAAGAAGCTTTCAAACTTTGAGAATCAGAAGGTATCGGGACATCAGCCGTATATAGCAAGTAGAGTAATGGACCTAGTACGCTTCCTTGAGGTACACCAGCTTTCATTTGTTTAAGTTCGGAGATTGAGTCTTTATACTTCACATAAAAGTATCTATTTTGTAGATAGCTCTTAAGTATGAGGTAAAAGTTTGTTGGAAGAAGCTCTGATAGTTTAGTTAGTATACCTCCATGCCAAACGCTGTCGAAAGCCTTTGCGACATCTAGATATACCGCCGAGGAAAATTGTTTTATGTCAATATCACTACTTATTTTATTAACAACTCTGTGAACTTATTGTATAGACGAATACTTTTTCCGAAAGCCGAATTGATGCTCAGGTATAAGTTTTTCTTTATGGAGAATCGGTTCTAGTCTTGATAAAATTATTTTTTCAAACAATTTTGACATTACTGGTAATAGGCTAATTGGTCTGTATGATTTTGTTACAGATATGTCCTTATTTGGTTTAGGTATAGTGATTACTTCTGCTACTTTACAAACTTTTGGAAAATACTTAAGGCGAAAATCGCAATTAAATAGATTTCTCATATATACAAGTACTTGAAGAGGCAGCTCAGTCAGAATCTTTCCTGTGATACTATCATATCCCGGTGATTTTTTTGCTTTAATTTTATTTTTAATAGTATTTTTTATCTCTGTTATTGAAACTTTCTTTATTGCGACATTTTGAGTAGAGCTGCTCCGTGTAACGTTACTATCATGCTGTTTTGGGTTACTAAACGTAGTTTCGAAGTACGTGGCAAAAATTTCAGCTTTTTCGGTGTTAGTTCTAGCCCAAGTTACATTTGCTATCCTCAGTGGTGGTTGATGCATTACTGACTTGTTGATATTTTTAATAACTTTCCATAAAGAATAGTTAGTGGCTTTGTCAGCTGTCAAGTTCATTATGTGTTTTTGCAGGTTTTTATTATTCTCATTAAGTAGCAGAATTTTAAGTTCTTTGGTTAGTTTGTTTAAGTCCTTTTTTAGTTAAGGGGACCGATTTATTTGCCATTGTTTTCTCAGTTTTCTTCTGTCCATTATCTTGCTTTTAACTGCCATCGAGATTTTATTTTGAGTGTCGTTTTGTTTAAGAACTGGGGTAGAATTTGTCACGGCAACAGCGATCATTTCGTTTAAGTATACAAACGCGCTTTCGATTTCGTCTTCAGATTTTAAGGAAATGTTAATGTTAATATCTAGTAAATGATGCTTACGATTTCTTTTTATGGCATTTACTAAGTCTGTCAAACTGTGGAACTTTTCCTGTTTAAGATTTGTATCAAATTGGATACGCTAAGTTTGGAGTTTTGGTTTTAATTTATACACACACGACATTTTTTATGTATAGATGCTTAAAATAAATGCGTTTCAATTGAAAAGAATTAGTTGTGCCAATATTCTTTTTCACCTCTAACGGCTTTTCAAAAATAAATATTTTAATGCTAGCTGGAAATTGCACAAAATCAGATTCTGAGAAGACTTTTCAAGGTGCCATGGTACATTAGGACGAATGACATTCTCAGAAACCTCAAGATTGATCCGGTCAATAGATACATGAAGAATAGAGCACGGAAATTATTTACGAAATCAGACAGGAATACCAACAACGCTTTATCAAATCTTCGAATTATTACAAGCTTCTCGGGGAGGTATGCAGATTTGAGATCAGTTATTGATTAGTCAGAAGAATTGATAAACAATAATCCAGTCAAGGCGTAGAGAAGGGTTATGAAGAAACCTCGTAGTTAGTAGAGATTAAAAGTGCTCAAGTGCACTGACTAGCCTCAACTAGCCTTAATATAGTAGTAGTTAATTACTTATATACAATAACAAATATATTCCAAAAATAGTATGTAGTTCAAAGCAATTGATATCACTATAGAGTTCACTTAGTTCTCATTTTAATTTGAAAAATGTAATTGATTGATCAATTGTATTATTGAAAAATTATTTGAAGCTGTCTTGAAGTTCTTACAATTTTTCGTGTTAAAACGTATAAAATATCTTTGCTCGCTTCAGAGTTCGATTATGAAAACACAACCCGGAAGAAAAAATTCTGGCTGAGCTTTTATTTTCGGATGTACTCACTTTTAACACAATGAATCTGCTGAATAATTAATAGGACGATTTTTATCTTTTCTTAAATCATGGAATCATCACCAGATCTTGCGGAATGTTTCCAGGAAACTGCCGTAATACAAGTAATTATCCATAAGAACAACTTAACATTTAAACTCCATAGGCGAAAGCTCCACAAGTCCATATTCCAAGAACTTTGAAAGTTGATTTTAATCAAAGTAGTTCATAATTTATTTTAATTTTATTTTGATACCTACATGTTTTTTATTTTCATTTATTTTCTTTTAGTTATATTTGTTTTTAGATTTTTCTTTTCAATATTTCTTATTTTTTATAAGATATTTTTAGTTTTGTAGCTTTTATAAAAGGGATTTGTGCATATTTTGAATACTTTTTATTTTCAACTTTCATAATTTTAATTTTTACCTACATCTCGGAGACGTCTCGACGTATCGCTCCTTCACGAGAATTTAAAAACTCTATCAAATCTTGTAACGAGAAATGCGTGAAATCGTTCATATTCAGCTAGGCCAGTGCGGAAACCAAATTGGTGGAAAATTTTGGGAAGTGATTTCTGATGAACACTGCATAGATCCCTGTGGTTGCTACTATGGAGATAGTGATTTGCAGTTAGAACGAATAAATGTTTATTATAACGAAGCTACATCCGGAAAGTTCGTGCCTCGAGCTGTACTCGTTGATTTAGAACCAGGTGCATTAGATTCTGTGCGATCTGGCCCATTTGGTGGAATATTTCGACCTGATAACTTCGTGTTTGGTCATTCGGGAGCAGGAAATAATTGGGCAAAAGGTTTTTACACAGAAGGCGCTGAATTTATTGATTCTGTCTTAGATGTAGTAAGAAAGGAAGCGGAAGGATGTGATTGTTTACAAGTAAATTTAACCTTTTTTATGCGCGTTTGGTATATTTGTATTCTATCTTAATTTAAAATTGTTGAATTGCGACACTAACTTCTGCAGATATAGAAATTACTTTCATATTGACACATATGATTAAATCAGAACGGTTTTATGATATAAAGAGTATTTTTAAATTTACATTAATTCCATATCTCTACTTCCAGGGATTTCAAATTGTTCACTCGCTTGGAGGTGGAACAGGGTCAGGCTTAGGAACACTTGTACTTTCAAAACTTAATGAGGAGTTTCCAGATCGAGTTTTGCTAACTTTTTCAGTTTATCCTTCTCCCAAAGTTTCTGAAACAGTTGTTGAGCCATATAACTGCACATTAAGCTCTCATTATTTAATTCAGCATGCGGAGCAAACAGTATGTATTGACAATGAGGCAGGAATGCCAGTTCGTGAAGGTTATGTGTCCCCAAATGGGCAGTAAGTTCATTGATATTCAGCAACGATTGTCGGCAAACGACAGTGCTTGACATGTCCGGTTCCAACTATCGAGGACGAAATGCGTGGTACAGGATCCATGTGCCGAGATATGCACGCCGGGTTCACTAAATTCACGGTCTTCACAAACGAATACCGGCACTAAGTGGTAATGACTACAAGGAGCAAAACTATGATACTATCCAGGCACACAAAAGAATAATTAAATGAGTAGTGAATATACCTACCGCCAGATTTTGGTAGCAAAACGGGGTTTTAGCCGAGTCCATAGGAGATTGTGGCCACTAATGTATAGGATGATAAACTTAATACTTTGGAAACAAAGTATGTGTTTAGAAAACTCCGAAGCTTGATTGTGTTAGTTGTCAAACATCCAAACATGACGCTTTGTGATTATTTGTGCCGCATTAAACCACAAGTGAAGCGAGCGCAATTACAGTAAGTTGATAAGCCATGGCTCGATACAATCAAGCCCGGCAACGTAAGTGTTAAAATTCTTTTTCGTCGGAAATAGAAATGCAGGGATTAGCCAAAGGGAACTGTAAAGCAATGAGTCCCTTAACCCGATTGAGTTACTTTGCCCTGTGACAACCACATAAAGCTGTAATAATGATGAGAAATACCAAAAGTAGATTAATAGCCAAAGCAAAGAAAGCCAGCTAAATCTATCCGAGCGTGTAGTGTTAACCATAGTTTTTTTAACTCTTATTTTCTGTTATCGCTAAGTCACGTTGAAAAATAATGGAGAAATCGATTTTTAGATATGAAGACGTCACTTAAGTTCCAAAATATACTGCTTATGAATAATAATTCCTTAATATTTCGATAACTACTTGTTTATTCTATGTTCCTATTAAGATGCGCCCCCATTTTAGCAGATCATTCATGGGCTGACTTACAATTATAGACGATGTTCTGTGAGTTATTATCGAAATAGTAAAATGGGAAATTATTGTTTGTTACTGCATTCAGTTGATATTATCTTTTGACATATTTATGGTGTATTAAAATAATTGACCACATTATCATTAAAGGGTGTGAGGAGCAACTTATGTTTCGACAACTCACTGGTGGCTTTTTTTGTTGAAATCATCACTTATCAATCAGGATATTACTTTCATTACTGATATCTTGATGGTGCATGATTTTTTAAAACCTGTCTTGAGCGCAGTATACGACTATATTGATTGGGCGTGATCCGGTTTCAACAATGGCTAATGATTAGGGTTTATTTTGAACATTCTTGATATATTCCTCGCTTTTATTAGGATCTCTTTGATTTTTCTCATTTTTATGGTCAGGGCAAGAATTGCGTGGGTCTTTTCACTCTTTTTACTGGGTATAATTTCATTTGTTGACCTAAAGCTTGCACAGGAAAACATACATCAAGGCTATTTCTCTCTCGCTTTACTGGTCGCACTGTGTGTGTTTTGGAAGCTGTATCACCACCATAGCTTAACCAGTGCTGGATTTGTGGCGATCACCTGTATTATCGCGTTATTGTTGTACTCCATTTTTGGCACCCTATATATAGGTGATGAATTTTTACCTGTTGTGAAAGATGGGACAACGGCTTTTTATTTTGCCTTGGTTTGTATGACGACTGTGGGCTTTGGTGACATTGTGCCTGTGACCGTTGATGCGCGTGTTTTTACTGTCACGGTGATTATTCTTGGTATTTCGATTTTTACTACGTCGGTGGTTTATATTGTTGGGGTATTAGCGAAAGGTACCAAAGAAATTGTACGTAAGAGGTTCTCATATATGAAAAATCATTATGTGGTGATAGGCAGTACTCCAATGGCTGTGAATATTTATCAAGGATTAAAAAAACGTGAGCTACCTGTTGCGGTCATTTGCCAAGAAAACCACCGCAGCCACTATCCCGAAAAAGACAATATTGTAACTGGGGACCCAACGAGCAGTGAGTTATTGGCTGCAGCGAACGTTAAGCATGCTAAGTGTGTATTGGTGATGACAGACAGTGACTCACTCAGCACATTCGCTTTACTTGGTGTGAAAGAGCAAGCTGGTAATAATAGCACCGTGAAAACCGTGGTTTTGATCAATCAAGA